TTCGCTAATAAAACATTAAATACAGAAAAAGCTATGCAAAAAATTGAAGTCGTATTCAAATATTTGGATATCAAGTTCAATTGATCGCTGATCATAGAGGTGCTTTCATATCAAATCGATTTAAAGAATGTTGTGAAGAACATGGAATTAAATTAATATTTAATACTGTTGGAGTTCCTAGAGGTAATGTTCAAATTAAGCGCCTACACTCTACTGTTATTGCAGCCTTGACGAAGCTATCTTTAGATGATCCTAACAAAAGGTATCGATATGTAAAACCCTTGCAATAAACTCTTAACTCAACTTACCAAAGAGCAATACAAACTACTCCTTTTGACTTATTGGTTGGAATAGAAATGAATATAATAATAAAAAAAAATACAAAACATAATACAAAATTAATGAAAAATGTTGAAGAAGAATGGCAAAATCAATTTGTTTATTCTAATATCTCGTCTGGAACTGACGATTGGTCAGGAATGGCTGAGTGTGGGATTGTATCAAAGGTGCTGTTACCCATCCCTATTATGTGACCCCTCGTTATTAATTTATTTTATAACTGTTGTAAAATCATACGATTATTGTAATGTGATTTCCTGTATACTTTGATTTATGTGTTCTCGGTCACTATGATTTACAACGTGGATGTGGAAACATCTCTATTGCATACAATAACATTGGATTGTATTAAACATTTTACATTAACTATTTAAATAAAATTTAAAATCAATTGCGAAAATAAAAATCAAAACTGATAGATTTTCATTTAAATAATTTTTTACCATATGTATATACCTACATTTATATAGTTTAACTAACCAACAAATTTTTTATTGTATAGTGGCAATAATTGTTTGATTTGGTAAATCAGTTTTTTTATTCTATCTTAAAGTTCGTTACACATAAAAATACATATTATACAGAGCATATATAGAAACATACAAATAGGCATTCAGAAACAAAAATTTCATAAAAAAGTTCTATAATATGTGTAGATAATATGTGTAGGAAATTACTTTTGCATGGGCCAACAACTAGATGTGGATAGTTTTTATTTATGTCAGTCATATATCAGGATTCCTAAACATTTATTAATGCTTTCAAATAAAATGATTTAAATTTAAGACATATTTATAATGATCATGTTAACACAGATATGTCTTTTGATAAGTTTAAAAATTTATGTTCCAGTTGTTGGGAAGATACAAACGGATTTTTACTTATTAATAAAGATAAAGATTTAAATAATGATCGCTATAGAAAGAATTTTAATAACGTTATAAGGTTATAAATATGTGGTATAAATACAACATTAGCTCGTCAAATTAGTAGCAGAACAGAAACCGATCAGCAACCGAACAGCAACCGATCAGCAACTGAACAGCAACAGATCAGATCAGTTCAATCTAGGGAAGTAGCAGTCCAATTTACTATAAGTGATATGAATAAAACAGTTTTGAAAAATTTAATTAAAGTTAGAAAAGATTTGAAATGGAAGTGCGGTGCTTTAAAAACTGGAAGAATTACGAAGGAGCAGTCTTTAGAAGAGAAAAGAGCAATCTTTAGAAGTGACATTGATCCAATTAATGAATTATCGGATGAGTTCTGAAGAAAATATTTCTATTATAGAAAAATAAATGAATTTAAAATTCAAATTCAATCATTTCAAATACTTAATCATAGAGAAAAAAATTTATCATCCTGAGAGCTTATCACATAATGACTTTTGATGGACAGTCATTAACATGACTAATGATATGCTAATATATCATAATACAGGAGCCTATGTTGCAGTATGTAATTGTTTAAGTAATGATGGAACGCCAGATCTACAATTCTTAAGTTCTTGGGAGATAACATTTTATTTAAATGATTATGATATAACAAATTATGTACTATAAATTATGTTAAAAAATATAATATATAAATGCATTTCGTTTTGTTATAATTTTTATTTTCAGTCATTTGTGTTTAAATTTCTTATTTCCTTTGAAATATTGTAAAAAGTAGAAGAAAAAATTTTTATGATAAGAAATAAAAAATAATTTGATGTAGCTTAAAACTTTGTTTTATTTTTGATTATCAAGTTTAAGGTTTCCATTATAATACTAACAAATGTTTTTCAAAATATTGTAAACAGTAGAAGATAATAACATATAAAAAATTTTTATGATAAGAAATAAAAAATAATATGATGTAGCTCAAAAATTTGCTTTGATAGATACATATCATACATACAATAGCTGTCATTTATGTTTAGAATTCTTTAGAATTTTTGTTTCTTTTGTTATTTATGTTTAGAATTCTAAACATAAATGAGTAAAAGAATTTTTGTTTAATAGATAATCATAAAAACTGACCAACATTAATAAATTAGTTTACAAAACTGAAGTTCAAGTTTAAATTTAAAAATTGGAAATTATTATGAAAATTGAATCGTATGATGATAGTGTGATCTATTTTCAAGTTTATAGAAAATATTTTATTTTTGAAATCGTTCAATGACTTATATTAGCAGTTAATTCTGAAAAAATGTAAATGTAATTGTTAAAAATAAAAACCGGGTGCTGAAAAAATAAATTGAAAATAAAAATCAGGTGCTGAAAAAATAAAAACTTTTCTTATGATGCTGAAAAAATAAATTTTAAACCAAAAAAAAATATTTCTTGTTTTGGAATCAAATAATTTTTATTATCTATTTTTCATTTTTATTGCATTTTTCTTGTTTTAATTGTTGTATTGTTGGGACCACTTCTTATCTCCAACATCCCGATCCCAAGCCTTCTCGACTCAAAGACTCAAAGAAAAAATATGTTTATATAATTTGAGTAAAGAATAAACCTTAAAAAATGCCCAAACAATTTATGAATATGGTATTTTGATTTTTATCATTTCATTTATTTCTATAATACATTATTCAGTTTTTCATTAATAATAAAATTATTTAAGTATAGCTAATAGTGCATACTACAATACACAACTGTAGGTTTATTAAAATTAACATAACATGTTCATGAATTAAAATTATAGTAAAACATTTTTTTTAAATACATTGCAGTAGTCATGGACAATATCGTCAAAGCTTAGACCTTATAAAAATAATTAATTGTAGTTTACAGAACATAGAATAAAAACAATATTGTGATTTACTTTTTATGTATGTATACATATTTTATTTATTTTTATACTCTTAAAAATCTTTTAGGAAGGGGATGGTGGTCGACAGAAAGTGCACCTGATAGAGATATTAAAGATTTAGCTAACAACAATAGAATAGGAAATATCAAATCAGGAGAAGTTTTAGCTATACCAAATTTTTTAATGCAATTAAAATCCACATTTATAATCCACATTTGAAACACCAACGCAATTTACTCGCTGGGATGTTCCAAATGAATTAGTTGACAGATTAAAAATTTTAATTGCAATCACCAATACACCGAAATCAACTCAATTATTGCAAAGCTGAAAAAATAGATATAATTGAATAATATTTTAAATAAATTACACCTATAATAAATTTTTTTTATTGTTTTATAAATTTGTTTTGAAGATACCAGTAATCTTTTTAAATCTACTCCATTTTTTCTTCTACCCCAATCATTATACCTTCTTCATTGATTAGTAATATGTTTTCAATATAAAATATTATCATATTATTCCTTTATTCATAACAGAATTTATACCTAAAATAGCACAAGCGCTGACAAGAATAAATTGTACAAATCGTGCTTTTATATAGTCTATGGTCATGGTCATAACAAACTTTTTGTATCATAACAATGTTGAAAGCTTTTGATTTGCATATTTCACGCCTATGTACGTATAGTATAAAAATAATGATTAATGCAACAAAAAATTGTGAAATATCAATGGAAAACCTTCACAGTAGGATCAAAACAAACAAAATGAAAAGTAAGTCATTTGAGTACATCAACCTGTTATTCTACTACATCATCTGAGAGCTATAATTATTTTTCTTTGTAAATTATAAGTTTTATACTGCTCTCATTATGTAATATCCACACACACACACATACCTTGACATCCAATTTGCAAATAAAGCGTAAAATAAACAATGTGACAAGATCCAAGTTACAAACTTAAAAATTGCATTTTTCAGGTTTTATTATTATAATATGCATATTAAAAAAATGGTATGACAATAATAACTATGACGTAAATGATAAAGCTCAAATTCTTATCCAAAATGCAAATTATAAGCAAATTTATATTTTTTACAAAGCAGGAAGTTTGCTTCTTAAACATTGCTTTCACACGCTTTACTAGCGCTGGGTTTGCGATTACATTTGCAATTGGGATGTCAATAATACTTACATATCGTCACCCCAGAGTTATACTGTCATACAATCTAAATTAAAAAAAAATGAGTTACGTATTGGTCTATTTTAGTTTTTAAGATATTTAGTAGCGATTTTGTCGTAAACGCCATTAAATATTAAAACCTTAAAATTATATTGTAGTATCAACCAAATTTTGGTTTATACGACAGAAAGTCCATATAAATATAGCTAAAAAATTGTTCACAATTATTTTATCGTACGTATCAAAAATAACAACATGCGATCATAGTCTTTTACTATTATTTTATCGTATAAGCTTAATGCATTTGATATACTTCATAATAACAACGCAAAAAATTTGCAGTCATTGTGTAGCACGTACATATATTAAGATTTGTATTGACGCCTTGAAAATCTGTTCACAGTTTTCTAAATGTACTCTGTACAAAATTTGTCACCACTTTTACTTGAGTAAGTTTTTTGTTTCTAAAAAAGTAAATTTGAAAATTTTGCATATTAAAAAAATGTAGTATACATTTTAATAATTTTTATGTAGCAAAAGTAAAAAAAAGTTTTCTTTCTTTTAACTTATTTTTAATAGTTAAATAACCAAAAAAATTATATAATGTGAAAAAAGTTTCGCGAAAAAAGTTAATAAAAAACGTTTCTTCCAATTTTTGCTACGTAACAATTAATAAAATATTTCATAAAAATAAAACAATTAATGCAATGAATTGTATAAAATAATATTCTGTGTTAGGATAATGGATTTCTTAAGAGACAGTGATGAAAGTACAAACAACTCTGAGTTAGGTATATAATTTTGATTTTTGAAAAAATAACAAGCAAATTATGTAATTTATACAATTTTAGATGAAGATTTTGACAGTGACGATTTTGTGCGAGATCCAGATAAAAAATTTTGTAAAAATTGCTCAATTGGTAAATTATTTACATTTCAGATTTTAAATAATTTTTTGTTTTTGCACTATTCATTTTTACGTATACTTTCAGCCTCCTCATCTCGAAATAGTCTAGAAGTTTTAGCTTTACCAAATGTAGTATCCTCATATACTTCATGTGTTTTTTCTTTCTTTGTAACATATTATATATCGCTTAAATTAATATTTTTAAAATCTCACTGTGGTACTCGTACAACAACTTGTAAGAGATAACTTCATATTAAAAATTGGAAGCAAAATAAGCGAATAAGGGAAGGTATATAATTAAAACCTCTTTGCCAACTTACATGTTACTATCTTTACACTTTTGATGATGACTACAATAACAAAATATTCCGAGCCTTTTGGCAGTTCGACGATGACAAGAAAAATATTTTCTATAGTACTCATTAAATAAGAAGTAACAAGACGACGTAAAAAGGATTCTAATAAAAAAACAAAACAGTTTTCTATATTTCTTGAAAAAACAATGACAAGCAGCAGGTATGTCAGGTAACAAAATAATAAAATCAGGTAATTTTTTTATAGCTTTCAAATAATATGTACTAGTATTGTAAGCACAAAATAAAACATTATTTAAAAAAAGATTAAGCATTTACTCTTTAAGGAAAATCATGTTTATTATTAGAATATATTATAAAATTATATGCTAAGACTTTACTAAATAAAATGTAATAAAAGGGTTCAAATTTAATTGATATAGAATTGAATACCTATCAAATTATTTTGATATAGAATTGAATACCTATCATATTAAAAAGAATATGTAACAAACTAAAAAACTTTATTTTGTAAAATGAAAGTTATTTAAAAAAAAAACTATTTTATTAATCTAAAATAATAAAATGATTATTAATCTTAACTTCATATGTTTCCTATAATTTTCAGAATCTTGTCGTATGACAATATTCTTTTGTCGTACATACGACAAGATATTTCTGGACAAAAGTCTTTAGAAGTTCGACCCCTTTGTGCTAAGGCACCTGAGTTCGGTGTGAATTAATTCTTTATATTGCTAGCTATCCATAAAAATTTTAAAATTTTCGACGAATTTTGAGAAATTTTATCCTAAACTTCAAATGCCATTTCCCAAAAACCGAATTCCGGGATATGATATAATTTGCTATTAACTTTAACAGTGCAAAAGCAGTATACGGATGTATAAGAATGTGTACACAGATATACACTGACAGTTGATATAGAATAAATGCTAGATAAGCATAGTGTAAGCTGCAATGCTTTGAATTTGATTTTGCTCTGAATCATAGAAAAAATTTGTTTACAGAAAACTTGAACTAAAAACTGTCAGTTTCTTTACATTAAATCATACATATAGTATGATACGTATAGTATGATTTAATTATAGTTATGTAAAGTTTCATTTTTAATTTATAAATGCGTGAAAAAATATTATTTAAAATAATGAACACTGAACATAATAAATAATGATGATAAGATTCATATTTTTGTATTAATTGTCTTTTAAAATTCTAAAAAAGATTAATTTGTGTTATCACACTATTTAAATTATTTTCATTCATAAACGAAACTATTTCTGTGATTGCATACATTTATTTTCATGAAGCAATTACACTTCGTAACGTGGTGTTATGTTATCAATATTGTTATTTATGTGAGTTTCTTTTAAATTAAATCATACATACGAGTATAGTATATGATTTAATTATAGTTACGTAAAATTTCATTTTTAATTTATAAATCCGTGAAAAAATATTGTTTTAGTCAATGGACATTGGATATAATAAATAAATATCAATAAAATGAAAGATATTAAAATTTGTGATTCCTGATCTGCATAATGCATACACTCAAACTTTGAATAAAATCTCTCTAAATTATAATGATGATAAATGTTTTATATTATGTAATAAAGTTAATACTTATGCATAGGATCACTATAGAATATCAAAATAAAGAAAAAAAATTACTCTTTGTGTTTTTATTTCTTACTAAAATACAAAATGTTTTTAATCAAAAAGATTAAGAACAAAAGTTCTTAAGTTTTATCAGACTTTTTTCAATTTAACCACAGAAAAATCTTTGCAAAAAAAAGTGTAAATTAGAAATATTAATTTAATATTTTATTAGTTTAACCTGAAAAATTAAGAAAAAATTAAGAAATTCATTTCAATGAAAGAAAATGACTACCATTGAAGACCATTGAAGACATCACTATGCAAGGCTATACAGATGAAGGCTTTCCCAACAATTACCAACTTATAGAAGCTACTACTAGTGGGAAAGCATTCACCTTATTTTACAAATTTCACGCTCTTCAATATTCAGCGGTGATGATGACTTCACAAACACTTGCCATTAGTATCACAAGAAAAAAATTATGTGCGAATGATGCTTCAACAATTGCGTCGAGGCAAACATTCACGAAGGTCAGTTCAAGAACTACACAAAATTGTACTTTACAGTATTAATCGAAAATTACGGATTAGATCAAGACGTGTAAATAATTAGTGCTAAATATAAGTAATTAGGTGCGGTGTGGAAATATTAAAATAAAAATTTTTAAATAAAATTCATGTGTGCATACATGTGCTCATATGTATGTAGTGTATAGTGCAAAAACTATAAAACAAAAATTATATATACTTCATTAAAAACATTAATTAATATATATAACTATATACAAAAAATCAAAAACACAAGAAAAAACAAAAAATCATAAAACAAAAAATAAACAGGTGCATTATATAGTCTTGTTACTGGGTGTGTACAGACCGCATGGTCAAAAATGCACTCAATAATAGTGAAGCCATAGCAAAAAAAATATAACAAAAATCTAAACAGAACAATGGCAACAAATAAAAACACAAAGTTTCACAAACTAATTGTAGAATAGCAGAAAAAAATAAAAAACTTACAATAGATAATATGAATTGAAGAGCAGAATTAAAGGGTATGAAAGAAAAACTTACCAAATCTCTTAACCAAAGTTTAAATATGTCTAATAATCAATTTGCTATTCTAGACGAGATGGAGTGCGTAGAAAACGTAGTCAACGCTAATGATCCTGTAGGTAATCCGGGAAATGAAAATCAAAATAATGACACAGATTTTATTGCAATTTTAAGAAAAAAAATTTAAATAAAAAAATAACAAATGAATCGACAAACACACAAGCTGCAAGCACATCTAAAAACGATGCACCAGTAAATGATGCAAGTAATATGAAAAAAATTAATAAAAAAATTCCACCAATTATTGTTAATTCTGACGACATATCTACCATTAAAAGTGTTATTAAATTTCAATTAAATATAAAATATTTTGTTATTAAATCTTCTAATAGCACACGCCACACAATATATACAGAGACTGAAGAAGACTACCAAAAAAATATTTAATACATTAAAAAACACACATGTACAATGTTTCTCCTTCACAACAAAAACCGAAAAACCAATTCAGGTTCGAAACTACGAACCTGAAACAATTCTCCAAATGTTAAAAGAACTTAAAATTGAAAATGTCTCTTTCAAAAAAGTATTGAGATTAACAACAAAAAAATCTGTTAGTGAAAACAAAAGGTTCCAATCTATATTATTCAAGTCGAACCAAAAAGCAACGTTGAAAATATTATGTCAACTAAATTTGATAAGTTGACCACCAACTTATCAAATGGGAAAAATTAAAAAAACCCGTAATTAAACAATGTACAAGATGTCAGAGATTCAACCATTCCTTTTTCAACTCTAATATGAACCCAAGATGCGTCAAATGTGGAGAAAATCATGTAGCAAATAATTGTAAAATTTTGAAAAACAGATCACCAGAGCAATTATATTGCGTTCTTTGCAAATCGGCTGGCCACCCTGCGTCCTACAAACAATGTGCCGTATATAAAGAGAAGATGAAAAAAATAGAGATAAGCAAAAAAAAAACCAAAATAAACAAAAATGACAACAAAATTAATCATATTAATAACTATGTAAATACTAACCTCTGTTTTGCAAGTGCTGTAGGTAATAAAAATAATAATAATTATGTTAATGAAAATATGAATACTTATGTAGGAATGAATGATAATTTAAACAAAATTATGACAATGTTAAGTCAGTTAACAAAAAATGTAACAACACTTTGTGAGAACTATGCAACATTACGAACAGAATTATAAAATCAATCATCGAGAATCGATTTTCTGTTCGAAAACTTACATGACTGAACGAATGTTGCAGCAACACAATATCGAGTTAATTTCGTTGAATATTAATTCATGCAAATCTGTAGCTAAACAATTATTTTTATTAGATTTTTTATCTAGAAACAATCCTGACATCGTCACATTGTGTGAAACAAAATTATCAAAAAATGATCGTTTAAATTTTAAACATTATAATATAATTAGACAAGACAGGCCCGACAGTATAATGGGGGTGGAACCGCAATTTTATTAAAAAAAGAAATTGATTTTGAAAAAATTCACTTCGGGCAAAATAAAAATTTTTGCTTTTTAGAAGTATGCGCAATAAAAATATCTCTGGGTAGTAGTAATAATTTAATAATAGTTTCACTTTACGCTTCTTTAAGGAATTCCGATAAATTTGAAGAAGAATTATTAAGTATTTTTGAGCTTTTAGCTTTAGGAAAGTTAAATAACTCCTACATTTTATGCGGGGATTTCAATGCTAAGCATAAATCGTGGTCTAACCACACACAAAATTCGAGGGGTATACTCCTAGATATGTTTATTCAAAGATATAAAATAACTTATAAGATCGATCTGTATTCGAGCCTCAATCCCTCTTACCCTAGGAGTAACTCCTTTCTTGATACTATTTTAGCTGATGCTAGGCTTTTATTTAAAACATGCGGCTCTAGAAAATTAGAAACTTTAAATTTCGACAGTGATCATTTGGCACTGCTTACGCATATTTCTTATGGGAAAGATAATTTTATCCTTAAAATCCCTTGCGGTCATCACACTTGTATATACAAAAATACAAACTGGAGAAAACAGGAGCTAAAAAATTCGTCGGAAACAGAAAATGTGCTTGACATCCCGAATAATAGGAATCTTAATAGGTGTGAAATAGATAACTATTTACAACAACTTAATATAATAGTCTTGAGGGTTATTAACAAAGCAACACCAACTAAAAAGGGTATTAATAGCGCTGAAAAAAATGATAGTACGTTTTTACAAAAATTAAGAAATTTTAAAAGTAAATTACAGCTAAATTTAACCTACTTAAATTCTATAACAATAATAAAGCAAATTCATCATTAATTAGGGTAAATTCGCTTCTAAAGAATATTAGCTCACTTATAAAACAAAATGTAAGACAAGAAATCAACAACCATTGGGAGAGTCAGATTAAAAATATTAAACTAAATAATAACAAAACTATATTTTCCGAAATAAAAAAAATTTATAGAAATTGCGAATCTAGCTGCGACACAAAGCTAGAAATACCTGTAAGTGACGTATCAATTTTACAGGGTGCTGGAATAAATACTACTTCTATTGAAACCGCTAATGGAAAATATATTGTTAGAAATCAAATTGATATTTTAAATGTTTTGGGTACACACTTACACCAAGTGCATAATCAGACGGACGGTAGGTTATCGCAGCTAGATGAAGCTGTACATAAAACAAACCGTAACTTAAATATGGCCGCGCAAAATAGGATAATTAGGGACATTTCACTTGTAAAGTTTAGTAATACTCTTAAATCTAGCAATTTGACAGAAAACCAAACACAGGATAATTATTTTATAAAACTTGATGAATTGATAGAAATTTTTCACAATTTAAGGAATAAAACTTCGACTGGAGTAGATAATATACCAAAATTGGTTCTTAGGCAGTTGCCACATTGTATTATTGAAAAATATTGCATACTTTTTAATAACTGTCTTAACTTGAGTTATTTTCCAAAAATTTGGAAACTGGCTATAGTAATAGCAATAAAGAAACCGGGTAAGAACAATTCGGATCCAAACAGCTACAGACCTGTTAGTCTTTCACCTAATATTAGTAAGGTTTTTGAAATCGTAATAAATAGATTTCTAGTGAAACAAACGAGCAATAAAAACATAATACCGCTTAACCAGTTTGGGTTTCGGTACAAACATAGTACCACTCACACGATGACTGTTTTTTCATCTGACATTTGTAGATATATTAATGGTAAGGACTGCGTTGCTACATGTTTTGTTGATTTTGAGAAGGCATTTGATACAGTTTGGCTTCAAGGACTTATGTACAAAATGTTGAGATATCAGTATACTTTCCATCTGATATTTTTAATTACCGATATGATACACGACAGGTGTTTTAAAGTTTCTTATCGGGATATCTACTCCAATATATTTTCGGTGCGTAACGGTCTCCAACAGGGTACGGTTAATTCACCTATATTATTCAACATTTATATATTGCGAATTACTGGATTCTCTAAATAAATCTTTAGGGCCTAATCACAGTATAGCTTTTGCAGACGATCTAACGCTTTATTCCGCAAATGGTAATGCACAATATTTACTACAAAAACAATTTGACAGATTGTTAAATATTCAAAGAATTGGAAGCTAAAAATTAATTATAGAAAATGTAGGACTATGCTTTTTAAAAATACAGTTCACAAAGTTAATGATAGCACAAAAAAAAACTGTAGAAAATTTCGTATAATTACCCCAAATCAAACGCATATAGAAAATACTAATAGTTTCACATATTTAGGAGTGAATTATCACTATTTATTTAAATTTAGAAATCATGTAGACAGTCAGTTAAAGAATGCGAGAAAGGCATTTATGAGTCTCAAAAAATTATTTTATTCGAAAATACTATCTTCCAAAGTAAAATTATTATGCTACAAATCACTTATCAGACCAATTCTTGCTTATGCCGCTCCAATTTGGTTCAATATAAGTGCATCTACTATGGAAAAGTTGAGGTTGTTCGAGCGTAGATACCTCAGGGCTTGACTCTTTAATTTCTCATACCTGCTACGAAGATGATCAATACATCAAAAATTGCTTAACGACCGGATTTATCCCTCCGGAGGGATTCGTATTTTTAGATAAGTACAATTATATTGAAAACGCGGAATATGTACCAATAATATACCACTACATAAGAAATTCATCAAACAAAAAAATAGCATTAACGATAAATAATGAAGACTTAAATAACCAACAAATTTTTAAGTATGATAAACATATCCCCAATACTCAGATTAAGTTTTTCTTTTTAACTAGATTTAGTATAGTATGTAAGTTAGGTTAGGATTTTATATTAATACAAAAATTGTTTACTTAAATTGGTTTTTTTTTGCCACAAATCTTTTTCCAATATTATAACATTAAGAATTATAACTTATATTAAAAACACAAATGTATAAAATTAGATTAAAAACAATATAACAAGCGATTTAGCAGTATATTAATATTAGATTAAAGTTTGAGTGTTACAACTGATGTAGCCATGAATACTTGATACTTATATTATAAATAGAATTCATTTAGTTTTATTTGGAATATTTTGTAGTATAAATTTAATTTTGGCATAATAAATAAAGCATGAAAAAAAAAACGGTGAAATATGACAGCCAGGAGGAAGCGAGGGACTTCATTATGATGTAGACTCAACAAAGTCTCCAAAGAGATTAAACTTCTTTGTTGCGCTAAAGTATACAAAACGTTATGTAAATTTATTAAAAAATATAATTTTTCCTACTTTTATCCGAGAAAATAACCCCTATACAAATATTGCATACTTCGTTTTAAATATTGCATACTTCATTCTAAATATTGAATACTTCAATCAATATTTAAAATAAAAAAATATTTCTTATCAAAATAAAAAAATATTTCTTATCAATATTAAAAAAGTAATTCTACTTGTAAGGTGGCGCTGGGTTATCAATATTGCAAAAAATAATTCTAAACCTACCTTTCAAGCTTTAAAGCACAGTTTTCCTTTATCTCCCATCATAAAAAACAATAATGTTATATACTTTTAATTTAAGTAAATTTAAATTTAAATCAATCTTTAAAACTTTTAACCGAGACAATAACCTCTATACAAATATTGAATACTTCATTCTAAATATT